TATATTTAAAATGTTCATCTTAAATAATTTTGTTATTTTGCAATATTTTTTTAAAATTTTTGTTTTTTTTTATGCAGCATTGATAGGGCTAACAATTATCCATGCAAAAAATAGTGGAATATACAACAACAAAAAAGTAAAGGTCTTTTTTACTCATAATATACATCAAAAGAAAAGTAGTGGGACATTAAGTGAGCTCTGTGCCACCAAAATTATTGTCCAAATGTCTTCCCACCAATACAAAGTTTAAAATTCAAAATTCAAAATTCAAATTCAAAATTTAAATTTAAATTTAAATAAAATTCGAAATTGAAAATAAATATTTCAGAAAACAATGAGTTATTATTAATTTGAAAATTCTAATGTAGAAAGCAGTGGGATATTAAACGAATTGTCTGCCACAAAAAATTGTTCACATAATTTTCTATTTTATTTATTTACAAATTTTGATTTTGTTTTATATTTATTTAATTTAAAATATTTGTGTTTTTTTACAAAATATTTTGGTTTTTTTAATGATTATTTTCTAACAAAATAGTTTGTTTTTTATGCAGCATTGATATGGTTAACAATTACCCATAAAGAAAGTAATGTGATAATAAGTGAGCTGTCTGCCACCAATAATTGTCCAAATATTTTCCCACTACTACAAATTTTAAAATTCAAAGTTCAAATTCAAATGAAATTCGAAATTTAAAATAAATATTTCAGAAAGCAATGAGTTATTATTAATATGAAAATTCCAATGTAGAAAGCAATAAGATATTAAATGAGTTATTATTATTTATTTACAAATTTCGATTTCATTTTATATTTATTTAATTTAAAATATTTGCGCTTTTTTACAAAATATTTTGTTTTTTAAATGATTATTTTTTAACAAAATCTTTTTTTTATGGAGCATTGATATGGTTAACAATTACCGATATAGAAAGTAATGAGATAATAAATGAGTTGTCTGCCACCAATAATTGTCCAAATGTTTTCCTACCACTACAAAGTTTAAAATTCAAAATTCAAAATCAAATGAAATTCAAAATTTAAAACAAATATTTCAGAAAGCAATGATTTGTTATTAATTTGAAAATTTCAATGTAAAAAGCAGTGGGATATTAAATTAGTTGTTTGCCACGAAAAATTGTTCACATCATTTTCTATTGTATTTATTTACAAATTTTGATTTTATTTTATATTTATTTAATTTAAATTATTTGTGTTTTTTTACAAAACATTTTCGTTTTTCTAATAATTATTTTTTAACAAAATAAATTTTTTTATGCAACATTGATATGGTTAACAATTATCCATGTTGAAAGTAATGAGATAATAAATGAGTTGTCTGCCACCAATAATTGTCCAAATATTTTCCCACCACTACAAAATTTAAAATTCAAAATGAAAATTTAATTTAAACGAAATTCGAAATTTATAATAAATATTTCAAAAAGCAAGTTTTTATTATTAATTTGGAAATTCCAATGTAGAAAGGAGTGGGATATTAAATGAGTTGTGTGCCACGAAAAATTATTCACATAATTGTCCATTTTATTTATTTACAAATTTTGATTTTATTTTATATTTATTTAATTTAAAATATTTGCATTTTTTTACAAAATATTTTTGTTTTTTAATGATTATTTTTTAATAAAATAGTTTTTTTATGCAGCATTGATATGGTTAACAATTACCCATGTAGAAAGTAATGGGATAATAAATGAGTTGTCTGTCGCCCACCAATAATTGTCCAAACGTGAACATGTAGCATGGTTTTTATTTATTTTTTCGTTAAAAAATAATCCTTAATTATGTTTTTTGAAACATAAACAAACTAATTCATATGTCTTTAAATAAAATTAGCAGAATGGCACCACATTAGCTATTACTCAAACGTGATGTCTTTAAATGCATATGTCAGCTTTTATTATATGACTATTGCTATTCCATAACAATTATAATAAACAATTGCCACGTCTTTATTGAAAACAGTATAATAACCAATGGTCCTAGGAATACTAAACTGAAGCCACTTGTATATAAAAACCTATTTTATTTTTCTTCATCTTTTGAATTCGTGCATTGGTATACAAAAATGTGTTATATTCTAGGAATTATGCACAATAAAAGATGAAAGATATATTGTAAGAATAGAATACTGCAAAACATTAAACTTTTATTGGTAATTACTCAACAAACGAAGATAAAATGAAGGTTTTAGAAAATGGAATGGGAATATGAAAATCGAACTGTACCTTTTTTTTTTTTTTGGTAAACCGAAATGCACCCTTTAAAATTAAGGATGTTTTGGTTCAAGAGCAGATATAATGTTTGAGAAGCGAAAATGTTTAAGGAAATATTGTATTTGTTTAGAGTGACCGTTGAGATTCAATTCAATCCAAAATACTCTATTTGAATTTTAAAAATATGAAATAATGTTATTGTTTATAGAGTGAGCGTTTAAATTCTATTCAATCCAAAAAAATCTATTTTTACTTTAAAAAAAATCCATTTAATTTGATTGTTTAGACCTCTATTTTTAAAATTTGAAATCCCCTTGTATTAGATAAATTAGTTGGTTGAACTTGCAATAATTAATATGTTAATGATTTATTTTCTTTGATAAACACACTAATAATTAATTAATATTTTTTTTATAATAAAAGTCAACGCAATAATCAATAGAATAATACATTAAGCTGGTACAATATTTTAATGTTTATAGGAATCTTAATTTACCATTAAAGATTAAGACTCTTCATATTTTCCATAACTCTTAAGTCCTAAATATTTATGGAACACTATGATGTTTAATTATGACGTTTCAAGTGGTTTGTTTATTAGCCTTGTCCATTCCAATGCACAAAGCAATAAATTGTTTTGATGATTCACATTTTCCTAAATCCCTATTAATGCCAAAAGACCTGTATAATTACTTGATGGTCTTAGGAATACTAAAAGACAATTGGGAACACATGCACCGCGTTTCGTTTTTCGACAATTACAAAAATAACGATGCAGCAATTCCATTCACTGCTATAAGCAATCCGTTCGTTAGTGTGACTTTTAAATTCCCAAAGCTATGAAAAAAGAAGAAGGAAGAAACAACAAAATAAACTTCATTGACAATTGCTAAAAAAAAAAAAATATATAAATAAACGAAAAAAAAGACAATTTATTCCAATAACTTTTCACATACTAACATCATCAACCGTCAAAATTGTAAAATTTCTTTAAATAATTATATCCAACATTAAAATTTATTTTGTTTTATATTTCTTGAAATAATCAATTTTTATTGGTTACAGAAAATAAGAACCCTAAACACAACACAATCACGAAACCTGTCTAACAAAATGTTAAATTCATATATAAGATGCAATCGTGAAGTTTCTCCATCAGTTACATGTTCCCTTTCAGCAGCAAAACCCATCCATGTACAACACGAAGACCCAAAGCCTCAAGAACTCATATATTTTTTGTATTGGGGACAAAAGAAGACACAAAACCATCTTCATCAGCGTCATTGCAATTCACTGAAGGTGTTGAGAAAGACAAAGAGATAAGCCACAATTTCGCGTTCATTGCAGATTTGACTATAAACGCACTGGATTCATATTCAAAACGTATGTGTTCTTCAAGATGTTACTCTAAAAGATAACCCTACAAAAACATGTCATAAAAAATTGTATAACACCACGAAACCTCGATGTAACAACACGAAAACTCAATAATGCAACACACAAACAATTTCATAAACCCTATTGAATTAATGCAAGCATAAATAAATTGAACCCTTTATAGCAGCTCCCTCGAACAACATGAAAGACGTTGAATATGTAAATAATCATTCACAGTAGCACTTTCCACCCTATAAAACGAAGAAATGAGAATTAGTATAAAAAAATGAAAATGATTATGTTGAAACTAAATCTTTGAATATGTTAATAAAGAAACATAAATTATACAAATAGAACAACCCATACAAAAACGAACAAAGAAAAAAAAAACGTAAGCAAGCCAAAAAAAAAATGTGGTTCATATTCAAACGTACGTGTTCTTCAACATTGATTTAGCTCCAAAAGATAACCCTACAAAAATATGTAATAAAAAATACGTCATCAAAACAACGTTTGTTAATAAAGAAACCGAAAATGATATCAATAGAACAACCCCTACACACACCAACGCAGAAAAAAAGCAGGCAACCCAAAAAGAAAAAGAAACAACACTTCCCCATTTATACAAACACTCAATGCGTTAATTTGGTGAAACACCATTTGATGGAATAAGTGTCTTTCTTGAACACAGCAAAATTAATAAGCCCAACATTTTCCAAGGTAGGAGGTAGTAGGGTTTTGTTGCATTCAAAATCTGAACCATAATAAAAGCTGCACTATTTTCACGAAAATGAATTAATAATAATTTTAATTTAAAATAATTCAAAATATTTCTAAAAGAGGAAAATATTTAAATTTAAGTAGTGTGAACACAAACCTCAGATTCAAGGAGAATGCGACACATCATCAAAGTTTCCAATAAACGATTTTACTTTAGAATAATATAATATAGAAGAGTATCCAAAAGACTCACATTATCCTAACTTTAAAGTAAAGAGGATACAAAGAGTCACATTATCCTGTGTTTAGTGCATAGTACAGTGTATTGCATGTATCTTTTCTTCGTTAACTCCATAAATGTTTTCTTTTTCTTTTTCTATAAATAGGCAAGTAGCGCGGGAAACAGATCATACAAATTTATGATACAGAGGCATTCAATTCCTCAATTTGTGAGATATTCGTGTTGTAACACCATCACCGATTCACCATGCAATCAATTCGATTTCTATTTCCTTATTCTCTGATTCATGCATTTTTTGAGTTGATTATTGTTGAATTTGGATCTCAGCGGCACCATGTCCTCAAATATTTTTGTTCATTTTCACTACAAATTCATTTCTCTTTCACGTTTTGTGTGTTTATTGTTGTGCAGCTAATCTCTGAAACATGAATCTCAGAATTGGCAACAGATCCACGTCAACTGCAAGTGCCGCTATGAAGTCCTTCGCCGCCGTCTCCGACCAGTTTCCGGCAGGCCTGCGGGTTCTTTTGGTGGATGCTGATCCCACGTGCCTCATGTTCCTTGAGAAGCAGCTGCGCACATGTCTCTATCAAGGTACTGAATCAGTTTCTCTCCAATTGCAATTTTAATTTCTCTCTCTCTCTCTCTCTTCAATTTCGTTTTTTCATTTGGATGCTAAATTAGTTGAAAAAACACAAAAAGTAAAACAGCAACTTCGTCTCCTTTTCAACAATTACGTGCTCATGTCATACATAGCTATTTGGTTATATATATCTTCTTTCTTTTCAAGATTATTTTGCTTTTTATTTGGTTTCTCATATCATGAAGTGCATCGATCTCGTGTTTGGAGTGCTACTGTAAATTTATTCTTAAGATGCCAGATTTGTAAATTTATTCTTCCTTCAAACCTTTGCAACTTGGTTTTCAATTATTGGATGATCAGATTTGTTTTTGTTTCCTTTATGGAATAATTATTCTGTTGATTATAAATTGTAAGGAGTTATTTTGTTGAGTACATTCCAGTTACGAAATGCAGTCGAGCTGAGACTGCACTCGCACTCCTCAGAGACAACGAAAATGGGTTTGACATCGTTATGAGCGATGTACATATGCCAGAAAATGACATGGACGGATTTAAACTTTTACAGCACATTGTGTTGGAGATGGACCTTCCAGTTATAAGTAAGTAGTACGTTTTGATCAACTTGGTATCATTCATGGACTGCATTTATATCGATGCTGACATGTTTTGTATGATAATTACAGTATTTTCTGCAGATGATGATAAAAATGTTGTTATGAAGTGTCTAACACATGGTGCTTGTGCTTATATAATCAAACCTGGCAAAATGGATGTTTTTAAAAACATATGGCAGCATGTGTTTCGCAAGAAAATGAATGAGCAGAAACATACAGATTACTCATCCACATCAACGAAGCCACGGCTTGTTTGGTCTCCTGAGCTTCATCGACAGTTTGCGGCTGCTGTGATTGAACTGGGGGTTAACAGTATGTTAGACATTTGTTACTGTCCTTTAATAAAAATATTATATTAGTATTAATTAGGTATAACATTTATAGTCTTTACAATTTTAGCATTTCAAATTTTTGTTATTAAACTCTTCTGCTGACATTGATGCAAAACCTCAACCCTTCTATATTTGGAGGGTCTTTGTGTTTTCTCAATGGAGGATTACCCTCTTCTGCCTGAGCTTGTCGAACTGGATTCACCTCACCCATTCATATGCCATGTCTGAGGTGAGGACAAGTTGCGTCTGATTGGAAGGAATGCCAGGCATTTATTAACATCCATTAATAAAAATATTAGATCAAGAAGAATTAATTTAATTGGTATCAATTAGGAATAACATTTATTGTCTCTACCATTCTAGCATTTCAAATTTTTGTCATAAAGGCCAAATGACTAAAGGAAATAAACAAGAAGAAATTATTTCCTTTCCTATGATTCTATGTTTCTATTCTTTCTCCCAATCGATCAATCAATAATTTTGGCCTCTCTTTCCCTTCTTCCTTGACTTCAATAAAAAATCACTTAACACTATTTATCCATCACCTGCATCCTTGAACAAAATTTGTTTTTTCATCTTTGTTGCTTTTCTATGCAGACCTATCTAACCCAACATAGCAATGTATCACGTCACAGTATTTTTTATGCATAGTCCTTAGGATTCTACACGTGTTGTTCAGTTGTCATACATGAGTTCTGAAAGCCTCAAAACAATACTTACACTACTTTGATTTTCAGTATTTAGGTGCAATATTTGGGATCATTGCATCTAGGTTTTGCAGACTGTCAACTCATATGTGAATGACTATTCAAACTATATTAGTCAATGATTTTTATAAATAATTAAGATTCCATGGTGTCTTTTAACATTACAACACCACTCAAGTCTTACACCACTGGTTGGGGGCCCTAGCCATTGAGCTCTATCAAAAACCAAATTTTCTCTAAAACCATTTAGAGCAGAGTCTTTTTGATGGTTTTTTGTACAGTTTTTTTTTAGTTTTTCTACCTTTTAATTGAAGATTTGACGCACTTTTCTGATTGGATCTTGTATTAGTTTTCTAATATTGTCAAACCGTCTTAGGCGAATTTTCTTCTAATTCAACTTACATTTTACTCTATGCTAACATGCATTCTCATCTCCGATCACTATCCAGTATTCACTACAGATAAATTTTTTTTTTTTTTTTGTCTAAAAAGTTAGAATTTTGTCCCCAAAATATTTGCTTGAATACCTGATCTATGAAGAATTTTGGTGTTTTGAGTCTTGCCTGATTCATTAGAGATTTATTGAAAATGTATAGAACTTACAATAATGTTTCCAAATTTTGTATTTGTATACAGATGCTGCTCCTAAAAAAATTCTGGAATTGATGAACGTCCATGGTCTCACTAGAGATCACGTTGCCAGCCATCTCCAGGTATCATACTGTTATCCCATATGTACTATGGGAAGGATTCAGAAGTTAAAAATTATATCCCTACTTCTCTTTTTGTCACGATCATCTATGCTATAATTACTTGGGGGTAAATTTTTTTGGTCCTATTTTTGTTACAGAAATACCGTTTGCGTCTTCAAAGGGGGAGTGGAGTTTCTCCGCACCAGAGTAACTTCAACTCCTTTCTCCGCCCACAAGCAGGAGTCCCAATGCCTCTCATGGATCAAAGATTTGAAATCCCCAGGTTAGAATTTGGAGGAGGGCAACAACAAAATTTAAGTAGTAGTAAACCGATGATCTTACTTCACGAAATACCCACCAACACGGAGCTAAAACAGTTTGCCATTTTGCACCAGTTTACCCAGTTCCTTGGTAACATAAATATGCAAGTCAATGCTTGTGCTACACAGAGCAAACCCTTATTGCAGCTGATGACACAATCCCAACCTAGAGGTACTTCAGGTACAAGCAGTATCACAAAGAAAGGCCCGTTTCAGCAGGAAGGTACTTCCGGAATGAAAGGACCTGATGGATTTCCAAGTTATGAGATATTGAATGAACTGCACCATCAGAAGTCCCATGATTTGGACGCAACAAACCCATGCCTGCCTTATGTTGCCTCCCAGCATGCAAATTTACAAGGTTACATTGACGTCTCACCGTCAGTTTTAGTCCAACAGGGCTATTCTTCTTCCCAACAGACTGGACAAAGCAGAGATGCCGCTTTGATTGGAAAAAATATGTTGTCCCTTGGAGAATGCTTGAAACATGACAATCTACAAAATGCTAGTCAACACCTTAATGAGCTTCCTGTTGACGATCCAATAAGGGCTACGGCTGAAATTAATCTCAATGCAATCCCCAAGACTAACCTGAACACTGAGCATAATGGAGAAGAGGATCTTATGAGTGCACCTCTGAAACAGGTTGGTCCTTTATACCTTTCTTTGGGACATGAAATATTTGTAATTTTCCATTATAAAGTAATCAAATTTCTTCTGTTTTTCTGGCAGCAAGAAGGCCCAACTGAGTAGGGTTTTGAGCTTTGATGGATGGCTATTCTCCGGGAAACATTTCCCTGTGTAGAGCTGACGTTAACGAGTTCTTTATGATTGCAGTTGCTAATTACGATTGAATAATTAGCTATTTTGGACTTGAGTCTAGATTGTTCGACAAACAGAATTTGGTTGATGCCAAATATTCAGAATTTTATTAGTAGCATACTGTGAAGATTTTAGTCTGGATGCTGAAGATCTTTTAAATAATGTTCTCAGAAGTAGGTTAATGACCTCCGCTAGGAAGTAAATATTTCATTTGGTTGATCAAGACATTTGGTTTGGTTATTCTTTTCTAGTTGTTTGTGTACTTTGATACTTTTGTGCTTTTATGAGTGTGAGCTTTGGAGCAATGCTATGGTTATTCCTTTGTGATCAGGGTCACGAATAATTTCGGAAAATAGTCTTTTTGTAGAAATGCAAAGGTAAGGGTATATAGCATTAACTCTCCTCCTTATTCTTACAAAATCAGGGGAGCCTTGTGCTCAAAGATTTGCCTTATAATTTTGTGTTTTTATGTTTCAGTTGTAGATGAGCTGTTCTGTTCATTATACTATGCACTCTTTGCAAATGAACTTGATATGTACTCTGGTGGGATTTTATGGCTACCAATGTACCTCTAAGCAAGATAATTGTAAACACGCATTTTTTTGCAAGAGAATTTAAAATAAAATAAAAAATATTTTTAATATTTTTAGCCTTCTCTGTTTTTAAAAAATAAATAAAAATTGAAAGATGCCTCTTTGTTAAAGAGACAAGTGCTCAAGACGAGCGTCTGGGCATTTTATCTGCAACTATGTCTTCAATGATTTTCACAAGGATAGTTGTGTTGGAGTGAACATACTGTGCTGGAGAGATAATTTTGAAAAGAAAGTACCAAGTGATTAAAAAAGACAACATTTCTCCATACACTATGGTCTGTAGTCAGAAGGATCTTATCGCCAAAGGAATGGGCATCATCCAGTGAGAGGACTTTTAGCAACGTTATTACAGTAACCACTAGAAAAAGGAGAGGGTTGATTTGGAGGAAAAAAGGGACTGAAACACAATATAAATAAATGAGGGATGGGCTCCTTATATAATGGCTCATGGTGGGAAACAGCTTCACAGGGGAAGACCCTACTGATGCTAGTTATTAGTCATGGGGGTGGAGGAAAGCTCTGGAGGATGGCTAGATCCAAAGAACAACAATAGAGGGGTGACTCTAATGTATGAGAAAGAAACAGTCAAGGAAGAGAGTAATCAGAAACATGGAGTATGAGAAAGGATTCTATTGTATGAAAAAGAAACAGTCAAGGAAGAGAAGGAAAATAGTAGGGAAAGAAAGAAGATTTATTGAAGAAAGGAAGTGTGACTTGAAGGGGACAACTGCGCATCTTCAATACCTCGATCTTCATCTCAGCAACCTGCAACGTACTCGCTCAGATCCATTGCCATTATGTATACAGCTTGTCATCTAGTATTGTAAAATTATTTACGGTGTGTTGCATCTATCCCTTCCAATAAAACTCTTTCTTTGTGTATTTCACAGAGACTATATCACTGAATGTTGGTGTATTCCAAGAGCTCTTAATGTTGTCTGCACCTTCTTTCTATTTTTTTCTTATCATTTTCAGTTTATTACTGTTACACAATATTGATCATTGCAAGATGTGGTCTCAAAAAAAATAATAAAATAATAAAAATGCATCGGCCCATGTTTTCAAAAGCTGTCAATAAAGTAGTCCTGGGACATGAAATTTGAACCATTTTTTTTAAGAGCTATAATATCAAAGTTGAATTTTTTCTAAAAGATGAAAAAAAAAATACAAAACAAAAGCATTCAAGGTTCAGTACACAATAAATGGCAGCATCGGAATTGTGTATTTGCATGTTAGCATTTCTTTTTGAAAAAAAACAAGTATTATGTTGTAGTAAAATTATCTTGTCATGATATAGAGACAATAACTGTGCGCTCCACCATATTTAAAAAAAAAAAGTACAACACAAATATAGATGTATGTGTAGGAAACTTTGCATTTGTCATGTACAAAACCCTTTCTTTGGGGTTTGCATTTCTCATTTAACATACACAATAAACTTTCCTACACATACAACATTTTGTGGGGCCCACACTTTTTGAAGAAAAAGGAAAAAATAAATTATGGCACGCAAAACGAATCTCTATAACATTATACAATCATTTTTCTTACGACGTAACTCTTATAAAACCCTATTAATAAATGATAAACAAGTAAAAAAATGAAAGTACTACTGGTGTCAAAGTTTTATTTTGTTTCTTGTGTTAATATTTTGGTCTTTATTTTATCATGTTATATAATGTCATGCAACACTAAAAGACAAAAAATAATAATAATAAAAAAATATGATAAAACACTTTCTTCATTGATTTTATTTTGTCTTATCTTACCATAACCAAATTATTTTTCCTACAACACAACTCTTATTTATCCCTAATATTTTAATGTTGTGAATATTTTGGTTCAGATCTTTATTTCATTTCAAATAGTCTTATTCTAAAAAATATTAAAATTTCGATTTTTTTTGTTCATTTTCATCACCAATCAATAAAAAAGGGTAAAATAAAATTCACGCAATCAATTTAAGGTAACCGTTTAAGGACGGGTGTGTTGAAGGCTATAATGCACCGACACGGAGACACGACACGTTGACACATTAATTCTAAAAAATATCATATTTCGACACGTTTTGATATCAAATAAAATTTTTAATATATATAATATAATTTATATTTAATACATATAAGAGTCCATAATAAGTCATATAACTAATCAAATATTTAAATTTCATAACATAAATAAAAAATAATAATTTTCCGTACTTTGTTAATTTTTCATGTCAAATTTCATAACAGAAAAAAATTAATTTATAAATTATTTTTTTTATATTTAGTTAATAAAATAAAATTAAAATTAAAAAAAAAAACGTGTCGGAGCGTTACCGCGTGTCAAAAAAAAGTTAACTGTATGTCGAACAAACGTGTCAAAGAGTTGACCGCGTGTCCTCAAATATTAACCCCGTGTCGAACCGTGTGCATATCGGACGACACGCAAATCTTTCAAAAATTACGTGCTTGTTAGGTTGAGGGTGCTGCGGGGTTTAATCTCCATCCTTCCTCACGCGCAATGGATTCCCGAACCCCTGCTCAAATTTAAAGACCAGTGCACAAGAGACAAAAGGTTTTCCAATTTTCCTAATAAAAAATTTGGTGGCGGCTCCATCTTCGAAAAAAAAAAAAAAAACCGGTCGTTACAATAATAATGAACTGATGGTGTACAGTTAACATGGTAAATAGTTAACCAGGCTACCAGTTCAGTTAGCTTTATTGACGTTAACATGGTAAGCCACATAAAATGGTTATGTATAATTTGGAAGTTATTGAATATCAAAACAAAATTTTAATGGGAATAAGACTGCAGGATCATTTTCAACTGTGTAAGAGTAAAAGTCTCACACTCAATTTCAGCCATTAATCCTGTTTAGATCCAACGGCTTTGAATTGTTCCAGATGAGTGTGCTTGTGACTAGTTCTCTCCACAAGGATTTGTTTTCTCAGGGGTCATTTGGTATACAGATTTTTTTCGGATTTTCGGGAAACTGAAATTTTTAAAATTTTAAATTTTCAGATATTATCGTAAATGTAAAAATCATATTTTAAAAAATCAAGATTCCCAGACAAATAAAAATTTCTCCTGTACCAAACGCCCTGTTACTTATGGTACAACCTCTCTACATCATGCCCCACCGCAACTTTGTGCAATTGGTGCCAAGAAATGAAGTCCTTGAGTTCTATTGATGATTAAAGCTTATGGAAAAATAAAGCACGTCAATTGTTTGGTAGTATGGAGAAATATTGTGTAATTGCAGATAGATGCAGCTACAGTGCTCTCATACAAATACATATTGCCAGACCTTATATCCGAGAAAAACGCAGGAACCGGTACTTGTGAGTAATTATTGCATCCCATATCGTTACGTGAATTCCAGCTTTGCAAAATTAGGTCAATTGGAATTTGTCGAAGATATGTACAAGGAAATGATTGGACATGGTGTGCAACCTGATGTTATAGTTTATGTGGGATATTGATCAATGCTTTTTGTGTTGTTGCAAGGTTTAAAGAAGCCATCGGTTATGTTTATGAAATGAAAACAAGTGGCTTGCCAGGGAATACTGTTACATATATAATTCTTTGATCAAGTTGTATGCAAAGGTTTTGGCTGCATGAAAGAAGCACAAGAAACATACAAGTTGCTTCAATCATCAGAAGGTCCTGTTGTATATTCTTCTAATTGTATGATTGACCAACCAAAAGAGATATTCGAGACCTTAAAGAAAAATGGAGATGCGAATGAGTTTACGTTTGCAATGTTGTTATGTTTGTAAAAGAAAATTGAGAGGTTTGATGAAGTCATTCAAATTGCAAAGCAGATGAGAAAATTGGGACTCTTTTCAGACTCTTTCAAATTTCCAAGTGTGTTATGCAATGCAAGACAGACACGATTCTGTCATTGGTGTCCTTTATTTTGATCCATTCGATGGTTTTTAAATTTTAATAAATTAAACAAAGAAACAAATCAGAAACTTCAATAAACAATCTGACATATTACTACTACATGAAAACAGAGAATACACTAATCTAATAGGAGATTCATACAAACCTGATCCCATCTTTCCTCAATTGCTTTCTTATCACCAGCTCCATCAAGAATGACAGCGTCATCTTTAAAAAATTGTTATCTAAAACATTGAGAACCTTAGTTAGTTGTCTAAATCATTTAACCTTGATATATTATCAGGCTAAGAACGGTGACAATCCAATTAAAATTTATTTCAAATTTAAACACAAGCAGTTGCTTCAGGATAGTCTACACATCCTCAAACAAAACTGTGCAATGATGAACATTAACCAACAAAGAGTATCAAAACTCTACTGTGCATTCAAATGCTATTACAATTAATCAAGAAGGTTACCTTTCTGCAAGAGCCAAGCATATCCAGGTCCACTTTTTCAAGATTCAAGCCATTCTCTTAAGTGATAAGCTAAATGAGGGTAGACTGAGTCACCGAGTCACATCTTCACTCATCTGGAACAAGTCATAGCCCCTAGATCTAAGTAGGATTAATCACTGAGAATAAGAATAGAACTCACATTGGTACAAGATGATTCTGCCCATTTTCATTTTAATGTATGGCTTTTGATGTTTGTCATTTTACATTGTCATTTTAGGATAGAGATAGACACAAAGAATGAAAATCATGGGAGAAAAATTTTATATCATTTGAAAGGGATAGGTTATTCTACCTACCATTTTATCTGACTACCTTTGTCTACCACTCTTTAAAACCGTTTGATCAGAATCTCAACTATATTTTTCATTTCTCTCTACTATTGAAGGATGGTAGGCAAAGGTAGACAGATAAAACAATAGGTAAAATAACTTATTCCTATTTAAAATGACAAATATTTTTCCCTCAATATATAACGAAATAATGAAATGCAAAACTTTTTTCGCTACTAATCCTAAATTGTTTTGCTTGGGAATCAAACTAGAGACCCTTCAGCCCACTTACCACGTGTGCTACCCCTTGGAATTTGATTTAACAATTAATTTGTACACATAATTTAGGGATTAAGTTTATTATTTTTCTTATTTGATCGTTTAGGTTAAGTATGACAAAAGCATCTATTTCAATATTTAAACATTCACATTCATAACTAATAAAAAAATAAAAATGCACATGAATTTTAACCAAACCATAATAAATTGCTTAGGTTTTCTTTCATCCTTTAAAATGCAAGACTAATCCTTACTCAATTTACTAAAGTTGTCATTCTGAAGTGCAAAGGCTCTTAACTGCTGCGCTTAAGTTTTCTTGTAACTCAAGTCCTTTTGAATTGTAATTACAAAAGTATTGATCAAAATTAAAAATTTCAATTATTAAAATTGGGATAGGATATTGTGACACCCAAGTTATGTTACACCCATGTGACACCCAGTCAATCTCACCGTTAGATCGCTTATGTTGATCCAACGGTTATATTTATTTCCATCTTTGTATGGTCATGATTTCCCAAATTTAAAGTGAAAGCATTAAATATGGGAAATCATAACCATACAAAGGTAGAAATAAATATAAAATATTAAATTTGGAAAATCATGACCATACAAAGATGGAAATAAATATAACCGTTGGATCAACATAAGCGATCTAACGGTGAGATTGACTGGGTGTCACATGGGTGTAACACTTGGGTGTCGAATATCCTATCCCATTAAAATTAACTATGATATTATTACCTCGAGTTATTTTCAAACAAACGACACAAACTTTTTCCCAATGTGAAAAAATACTATGATTGCAGATAAAATAGCCAAATAAGGCGGGACATTTGACCTTTCTGCCATACTTTCCAATAAAAACATTAGAATGCCACGGAGCCAAAAATTTTTTTCAAAATGTCACGTCACCAAAGTTATTGGATAGTGTAGAGACTATAGTGCAAGTAGGGGTGAAAGTGGGCTGGGTTGGGCCAAGCTTTACTCCGAAAAGTCCAAGTCTACGTTAAAAAATTTCAATTTAGTCTGGCCCAGGCCTAGTATGAGTTTAACTGTTAGCCTAGTTTAACCCGTTTATAAAAAAACAAATGGCCTGGCTTGACCCGTTAATCTGTTAGTTTTTAACTTCTAAGCATAACCATGAATCAACTTTACAAAGTACTCAAATTCTGTTGCTACACCAAAAATCATAATTTCAACGTCCAAGCAGAATCATGAATCATAACAAAACTAATACAATATGCATTTAAGTCATTTTCAAAAGCAAAATGCTCAAACTAAATAACATATATTTCATCAGATAAACAAATCCATACAATGTAAATTAAAATAACTATGTGAATCTAACAACCACATCATGATGATTGTAGTAAGTATAACCTCTCCCAAAAATCTTTTAATATATTCATATACACAATCTAACATGTTGAGATGTTGGTTCCTCCTATATAAGAAATAAAGTAAGATTTCTATTAAAATATAATCGAATATAATTAAGTTATAAATAATTGCAATTGATTAAATTTATATCTTTCTTTTTTTCTTCAAGACATAATTACTCTATTTTATTTTTTTAAAAATAAATAGTACAATATAGGCCGGCCTGTAAGCTTATAGGCCCAGCCTTTTGAAAGTGAGCCTACGGCCTTTTTATTAAACAAGTTTTTTTAAAGCCCGAGCCCGACCTATTATACAAAATATACTAAGTCAGGTCTAGCCTGATGTAGGCCGAGCCGTAGGCCCCTGTAGGTCGGCCCGGCCCAGTTTCACCCCTAAGTGCAACGTGACATGTGTAGATTGAATTACATGGGAAAATGATAAAGAAGATTTAATGTCCAATAAATGTTGATTTGTTTTTTGTTTTCTTTTTGAAAAATATAATAAACAATAAAGACAATTTGTTTTTCCAAATAGCTACACAAGCATGAAAAATATTTAATGATTCAAACCTACCGTTATCAGCCCAATGAATTAATCAATTCTGCCATATATCAAAATTAAAAATTAATTAAAATTATATCAAATATTTAAGCATTTAAATTATCATCTTTCTTTATATATTATAAATTAATTATTCCATTTTATTATTTTCGCTAAATCGAAAAGGAATAAATATGACTTTAAGGGAAACAGGAAGTTATATTTCCACTACGTCTTAGAACTTCCTTTAAATCTTACGATTTAGCCAGAATAATAAAATGGAATTATTAATTTTTAAAATATAAAGAGAGACGAAAAGTTAACGAGGAAAAAATATCTAATGTTACTTTAAATAATTTTTTCCAATATTCATCAAAACAACGTTATTTTAGGTTGAAAAATTAAAAATTAGAATGATAAAGATTATTATAACCTTAAAATAAATTAAAATTATAAATACAACATGATTTCTGCCCCAAAACGACATAGTTTATGTGAATATTAGACAAATTATCTAAAATAACTTTAGAAAAAATGAATCCTAAGTTAAATGCTTAAATATTTGATATAATTTTCATTAATTTTTAATTTTGATTTATTGCATAATTGATTAACTCATTGGGCTGATAAGAGTAGGTTTGAATCATGTAACTATTAAATATTTTCCATGCTTGTGTACTATGATGCACCGACATGGGACACGACACGACACGCCGACACGTTAATTCTAAAAAATGTTATATTTCGATATGTTGGGACACATTTTGATATTAAATAAAAATTTTGATATATATAATATAATTTATATTTGATACATATAACAGTCCACAATAAGTCATATAACCAATCAAATATACAAATTTCATAACATAAAAATAAATTTTCGTACTTTCTTAATTTTTCATTTCAAATTTAATAACAGAAATAAATTGATTTATAAATTATTTTTTTATATTTAGTTAATAAAATAAAATTAAGACTACAAAAAACAAAAAACAAAAAAACTGTGTCGGAGCATGTTGGTCGGAGCGTTGAACGCGTGTCTGCTTGTCGGAAAAACTTTTCGGAGAGTTGACTGCGTGTCCCAAAATATTGACTGCGTGTCGGAGTGTGTCCATGTCGAACACGTGTCCGACATGCAATTTTTTTAAAAAGTTGCGTGTCCATGCTTCTGAGCTTGTGTACATTACTTAAAAAAAGCAAATCGTCTTTATTGTTTATTATATTTTTTAAAAAAAAAACAAAAAATAAATCAGTATTTATTAAACATTAAATCGTCTATATCGTTTTCCTATTGACACTCCATATACATTTGGCACGTTGCAATGTAATCTTTGCATTATCGAGCGACTTTAGTCCTCCACATGCAAAAGAGTTGTACACTGAGTCATTGTTGGGCGACTTTTGTGACTCCAATAAATGCGCGACGTTTCGAAACAATAATCTCTACATTATTTGGCGACTTTGATGTCGTAGTACTTTGAAAAAATATTTTGAACCTGTGGCATTTAGATGATGTATAAAATCATATAAACATATGACAAACATGCAAATAATTCCTCAATTTCTTCAAGATTCCTGCTGCACCACGCATTTCGCAAATGAATTCATCCTGGATGTGACATGTCTATATAAAGCCTTTGGATTCCAATCAAGTCTGTTAGGTGCATTTCAAGTCTAGACCAATAATGAGGTAACTACGGAGAGTAACTCCAATCTCCAAGAGAGTAAACTCATGGTAGAAACAGTCATCAATATTATCGATACTTTCATTCCCTATCAAGACACACAGAAATTCTTTTTTTTTTTTTTTTAATACGAAACAGAAATTCTTAGTCACAACGTATTTAGTAATTTCTTAGGCCCTCTAATTGTTATTTAATATGTATAAAAATATTTTTAATGATATGTTCATTTCTATCGTAATGCCAACACAACCTTGTCCTTATCAAATAGAAAAAGACCAGAGACAAAACGAATGCAAAAGACCCAAAAAAAGGAAAAAAATAAAAATAAATATGACTTTAATAGAAAAAGGAATATATTTATATTATCTAATACAAATCTACAATCCTCTGTACTATTACATGCTCAAAAGAATCATATCAACTGAACAAGTATTGCCACAGCATCCAAACCAGACATACATCACGAATGTTACAACAGTACAACTTAGTCCACTGACATATCTGACTGTGTTTCTGTGAAGAAGTCAATATATAAATCAAATCCTGCCTCAGGACAACAGCAAGCCAGAACCAAAATCAAACGTAGCCAGCCACTATTACCGCATCAAGATGATCAGCAACAGTGTTAGGAACATTGAAGTAGTCCAGCAAAAACCCTTGTTCCTGAAACCACTGCTTGGAAGGACTGAAGGAAGAGAGCATTCCTCCCCATTGAAAAAGACTTTAGTGGGAAACCCATCTCCAAGAGCTACATTGATTCCAGTAGTAGTTTTCTTTGTGAATGACACTACTGACTGTTGTTTACCGGGCACCCTAGGATCTGTCAGAGGATTAGCTCCATCTGTTTCTGCTACAAGGTAGTTCAATCCAGGCAATCCTTGCATAATTATTGTATTATTTACGCCATCTAGGATGCTTGCATTGAATGAATACATTTTCTCAAAACCTGCAGCTGCTTTGTTCAATTCTACCGCAGCAAACCAGTCTACAAAATTAGTCTCGTCCCAATTAAAAAGTGTGACCCTTGCACTCCATCCTTTAGTATAGTCTGTATATAAATGCCAGTTTATGCTCACACCACAGTTATCACTACAGGGCATCGGGCTTGGCACTGGTAGATGTTTCAGACTAGCCCAAGCCACAGCCTTGGCAGTTCGGTTTTCGAAAGGAACAAGAAGTGCCTCTGGTGGAAGCCACATAGCTGGTGCAGTAGTACTACATGTTCTTCCAGGGTTACTGGGGCATCCACATGCACATGTTTTACATGGAATAACTGAATCATTATAATAGGCTGAAAATGAGACGCAGCATTTACTTGCTGCTCCCTTGACCGTTGTTATGTTGCACACAACCTGCCAACTGGCTACTACAGTTTTGTTCAATGGTAAGCCCGATGAATCAGGATATTCACTAGGACTCACCCGGACTGGAGGGCCACATTTGTAGTTAGGGTTGAGTGTACCACTTATCTGCCAGTTCTGTGGCGGTGAAAGTTGGGATCGATTAAGTGCTGGTGGCATTTTGAAGACCTGCACTTGGAATCTTGAAGCTGACATGCTAGGGTCCATTGATGGTGGCAATATGGTACCATTCCGGCAGCAAAACGGAATTTGCCCAAGGTTTGAATCATTGAACTTAGTGGGCGGGAGATCAATTATGGTTGGCCTTCTTTCACAATTCAATACAGTAGAAAAGTCAAGCTCCTGGTAGTATGTAGCTTGCTTACCAAAGAGACATTCAGAAGAATCCACAACAGATGGATAAGCCCCTTTCATTGTGTATATAAACTCGTCATTCATCCAATCCCAGCTTAACCTCCAGTTATCAAGACGGCCAAGGGGGTTATGGTTTGCAATATTAACCTCTGCCCAGTAATTGGAATCATAAGTTCTGATCACATCATACATAATAGTAAGATCACCATTTTGACGGGGCAAAAACTTCTCATCCGTCGTGATGTTTGTTTTGAACTTAGGATCTACTGTGCAACACACATTAGTCCCATTCTTCCCTGAAACCCACCCACGAAAAAGGTAAGTCAACACTCACTCCAAAGCAAAAACCACATTCTAGTATTTCATAAATTCTAGTATTTCATTGAACCCAATTAACCAATTCATAGATCATATAAATTATATAACCCATAACATAACTGTACTGCGATTGAAAATTCAACCCTCACAAATAATTTTCACAAACACCGATCCTACAATCACTGTCCACAGAACCTCAAAAAAAAAAAAAAAAAACCATTCAAATTGAAAACAAACCAAAACAGCAATCTAATCTCAGTTCAAGAACATAGAAGAACAATATCTCAAATCCAACGGATTACCTTGACCAGTGGTTTTGCGACAGACGAATCCGTCATTGGCGAGGTTGATGCTGGACGGCAACGGAACACTGGGCGGCGCCACCCCGAACACCGTTCCTAAGAGGTTGATCTGAACCTGCATCTGGGTCAAGTCCCCAGCAGTCTCCACCGCGGTCTTGAGATCGGTCATCGGATATCCGGCGAAGACGGTGCCGTTCCCGACGGCGGCGGGGAGGGTAGTTCCGTCGGCGAGCACCGCATTCGAGGCAGAGACTAAGAACTCGTCGTGCTGAAACCCAACGAATACCTTCCAAGACTTGAGGTCGTCGAGACCGTTGTTGAGAACGGTAAGGGTCGATTCGAACCGGTACGGTTGCTGGGTCGTGTCGGAGACGTTGGGCGGGAGGCGCACTCCGCCGGTGTAGGCGTAGGAGAGGAGTATCCCGTTGCAAGATTGCGCCTCGGCAAACGACGACGTTGCGATGAAGATGGCTAATACGGCGATGCTGAAGCAACACTGGCTTCGGAGTTGCGAGGCCATCGTGTCAGCTTCCGTGTTGGGTTTGGGTTTAGTTTCTTTGAAATTCGAATTTTGAACAAAGAGAGAGAGAGAGAGAGAGAAACAAGATACAACTTATTAAGTACCTTTCTTTCTTTCCTTTTCTTATTTTAAGAGAGAGAAAGTGACTGCTGAAACGCGTTGAACAAATAGAAAGGGTACTTCTTCCAACTTAGAAGCAGCTGTAGTTATGTGTATACTTGGTGAATGAATATGAATGATCTGAGAACATGATATGAATTTTTTTATTTTATTTTATTTTATTTTATACCGTGTTTGATTTTAATAATTCGGAGGACAGAACATGCTGCAGTTGCAAAGACGTATCGTTCCATTTGCAAAACCTTATTAAAATGGGGATAGGGGATAACCTACCTCTCTCTTTTTCATATCTTTATCTACCTCCTCTCTTTACAATTGAGATTATGATTTAATAGTATTAAAAAAATGGTAGAAAAAAAAAACCTAAAATAACATATCCCATATTTAACATGAATTGCGGAAAGAGTTTCTTTTTCTTTCTCTTTCTTTTTTCAAAAAGGTCCTCGAGTCCTAACAGCTCTCTCTCTCTCACACTCTCATGACGCTTTAATTTGAATTGAGCGTAAACCTTTTGGTTTGGATATAGCACACACAGTCACACATAATCAATGAAAGGTGCAATATCTTTGGTTGGGCTTTGGCCAATAGAATATGTGATCGTCTGAACTCTCAACTGTGGGCCCTGTTTGTATCGCCGCGCAAACAGCTTCAAGGGTGAAACGGTATTTGGGAGCAGTATATATTTTCTTGTTTATACTTTATACCCTGACGGTGACAGATTCTCGAAATAGAAATGGTATAATTGTGCCAAAACTATAGACAACCGCGGCTTGAGTTGCGGGCACGTCTTTGTTTGACCTCAAATATTTTTCTTCAAAATGTCAACTTCTCCTACAATTTTTCCCAGTAATACTTCTTATACATCATTATAATATACATCACGTCGGATTAGTACGAGATGGCAAAGTAAAAATTCTGGTAAATCAAGTCATAATTAAATGATAAAAATAGTGTAGACACTAATCCTCTCGTGTGTTAACACTCTTTTGATCGATACTACTACCAAGTATTGCGATAATTTAAAGTTTAAAATTTCAACTGTAATACTAAATCTCTAAGTTTTGTTTGTAAACAATCTTGAATTGTTTACTTCCAAAAGGAGAGATCCTTGGGTAATGGGTTCCGACTGTCCCACTCTGCTGACTTAGGCCCAAAATGATTAGATTAGCCCAGCTCTTATTGTTGGACAGTTGAATCAACGAGCAAGATATCCTGCCTCTGGGCCTTCGAGCCTTTAACTAGCTTGCATCCCCTCCGGCCTCCACAAGTGATTTTGAGGGGAATAGATAAAGAATTTGATGTTGCGAAAATCTAAAACTCGTAATATTTTTTTTGGTATGCTGATTTCAGAAGAGATTCATGATAATAATGATTCACTTATTTGGATTGCAAATGATGGTTGGATATAATATTTTATGGGTTTGCTTTTTCTGCAGTTACTGCAGTAAGCTCAATACGACGTCGTTTTGGGACGAAAATTATGATATTTTTGTAATTTTAATTTATTTCAGGGTTATAATAGTCTTTACATTTATAATTTTTTAAGATTTCAATACCAAAACGACGTCGTTTTGGGAATAAATGCAGATAAATCTACAGTAACTACAGAAACATTTTTTTCCATATTTTATTGCTAAAACTCTTTTACTGATCTGAATTGATTATTTTAGACTAAATATGGATAATTTATATTTGTCTCAATATTATACTGACCATCGTATTGAATTGTGTTATATGGTCAACATAAAAGGAAATAGTTGAATATAATCAATATATAGCCAAATAATATTTTACATAAAAGTCCAATAGATCAAAATATAATTATTTGATCATTGTTGATCATATTTCAATAACTTACTTATTAATTTAAAATTTAAACATTCCAAATTTCATATCTGTTGGTATAACACTTTCTATTCTCTCAAATATATAAGCTCCAACCTAGTTTTGTCATAGAAAAGCCCTGATTGGCCCGTGTTGGTGCTGGTGGGCTTTATTTTAACAAATTTCTTCTTAAGCAATATCTTGGAACAATTACCATTTTATCACGTCTGGCCAGAATATTTATCAGACTGTCACGTCAACAGTAAATTTTTTCATAATGTCATGTGACATAATTCGTTACACTGTGCAACGAAATATTCTTGCAAATAATTCACTACATAGTGAAGCAAATAATGCCATGTCAAGCTGCACAATCAGCAGTAATGACACATGTCAAGTAGGCAGTAGCACAAGCATAATTCGCTACACAGTGTAGCGAATTACTGTCTGCTTGAGACATGTCATTCTTGCTAACTGTGTAGCGAATTATTTACAAGCATATTTTGCTGCACAGTATAGCGAATTATGCCACATGACATTCTAGAAAAATTTACTAAATATTTTAACCATGTTAAAATGATCATTGTCCCCAATATCTTAGTCATTGAAATAATAGATTGGTATGGCATTAAGACGGTCACTCAATCAAAACAAAAGAGAGAAATTTTTCCGTAGAAAGTGAGCGACTTGACATTAGTGGTCAATATCGATCCTCAATAATTTCATTTAATTCTAGAGAAGAAACTTTGAACACTTTTGAGATCGTACAGGAACGATTAAGGGGATCATGTTATGTGGTGAAGCGGCGACGTTAATGAGTGAACTACTTGTTCTGTTTGTATAGTAACTTAACGATCAAGTTATTATCAAAAGGCAAAGTCAAGATAATTAGGGGATCAAGATCAACTATCAAGGGGAGGCACGTGGGGTTCATGTCTGGCATGATGAATATCCCTGCAATTTTTGGTTTGTACATGACATGTACACAGTTTCTTCTATTTCGGAAAACTGGCCCAAATATTATTCTACTTGGATTTTGCGCAATTCTATGGATTCAATCGGAATGGCCGCAAGGGAATATTAATGAGGATTAAGGAAAAGTTGGCACACTATCCCCGTCAAGCTCTGGGGCAGGGCAATATACCTTGGGTTGGGTTAGATTGGCTCATTTTTCACCTAAGAAATATTGGAAAAAGAACGTTCAGAAAGTTTTTTTTTTTTTTTTTTTTTTTCCTTCTTCTTCTTTATGAGGTATATATTATATTATATTTAAAAAGACAGAAACTCCCGGTTGCACGATCCATGGAACCGGAAGAAAGCAAGTGAAAAAGTGAAAAGTAGTGCAACAGCAAGATCTCATATAAAAATCTACAAAATTTTGTTCACTTTCTTTTCTTTTTTTCTTTTGATGTCATATATTCAGAACGAAACAATGACTTCACTTTTTATTAAATAAATAAATAATTCTAAACTTACGAATCACGATTATAGTAATGCTATTGTTAGCATATAAAGGTGGCAAAAATAAAAAATTTGAATTTGTACAATTATGTCGTCACATTGGCTCTAGCCGGTGTCTTGAGTCTCTTGACACTAGTTTATTTTTAAAAGCTAGTCACATTTTAAATGTAATTAAATAATTATAGTTAATCACGTTTCAAAAGTTTACTGTATGGTACTGGCTAATTTTTTTTTGACCCTGAGTTATTTTACTGGCTCCACTACTAAGTGGGGGCTATTTATTGAATGGACGCCGCAAATTGAAGAGTGCATTCTTTTGTTGCGATAGTAATTGGAGATTGTCCGATACCAATTTATTGTGGGTGCGTAAAGAAGACTCGTGAGGTCTCTTTCAATTTAGCTAAGAGGATGCGAAAATATGAGAAGAGAGATGGGCAAAGAAAATAGGCTTCTATATCAATTAAGAAACCCAAAGTAATTATCTTAGTTAAAAATAGTTGTCTTTGGAGCAAACTAAAATCAGGGTAACATGTATTTAGATACTACATACGCTATGAAGAGAAACACAAAAGTTGTACACCACAACCGCTATCAGATCCAATGCATTACATTGTTAAGAGTTAAAATCATTTAGTACAAACCCAACGCAGCGCAGCTGCTTACGGCGAAAGCACCACGTGGAGCTTACGCCTACTTTACGTTTCCTCTTTGTGTTGCCACGCTATCACTAGAAAGTAGATAGAACCATCCGAGGGTAATTTAGATATTCCATGTACCTAACTGCTAATGCATGATTTAAACTTATGCATGTCACATTTTAATTAATCCCACAGATTATAAGAGGAAATGTTAATGCAAACAAAAGAAAAACAATTTTTTCATGCTAGATATCGTGTCGTTTCAATTTGACATAATTAATTATAAAAAATTGATTTATATTTAAGAATGATATTTTAAAATTAATTTATAAGAATTAATTTTATCCTCATTATTCCGCCTAGGTTACTAATTTAGCATAGCATAGCTTTTATTGTGCAAGTGTTCAATTCAAACATGGCTGCCCCTGTGTGTGAAACAGAAACGTGTCACTGACACAATTTACAATAACTGATTCGTTTTTAATTTTCATCGTGTATCTGTTCACCATTGTTTCCCGTATTTTAAGTTTTAAAGAAAAATAAATATGGGAGGGTGCACTAATGAAAAGATATAATATAGCTTGAAAGATAAGATATAGCAGCACCTCACACCACTAGTTACTGCCCAAACTTTCTCTTCACACACACTCCACTTTTGTTCTTTTGTTTTGTTTTCTATTACAATCTACACTGTTACACTTTCCCTTCCTCACTCTCATAATCTCGTATCCTAGTCATTTGTCATTCGCCTAGGACGGAAAATGAGATTGTGTTTGTGGGTTGTGTTGGTTCTCACTTGTGTTTGTGTTGATGTGGCAATGGTAGATGCTGATCGTCGCATAAAAACCACCACCCACGACCAGATCGAGTGCACAATGTGTGCCGCCTGTGATAACCCCTGCAACCCAGTTTACTCATCACCCCCGCCACCTCCGTCGCCGCCACCTCCGTCGCCGTTGCCGTCGTCACCGCCTCCTTCCACCAACAATTGCCCTCCCCCTCCTTCTCCTCCTAGCTCTGGCGGAGGCGGAGGTACATATTATTACTCTCCACCCCCACCCTCTCAGTATATCTACTCCTCGCCACCTCCTCCGGCATCCACCGGAGGAACCGGCGGCACCTACTATTATTACCCTCCGCCCGACAACAGAAACTACCCAACGCCGCCGCCGCCCAACCCAATCGTGCCATATTTTCCTTTCTACTACTACAGCCCTCCGCCACCGTCCACGGCGGCTTCTTCGCCGTTGACGTCTTCCTCGCTGCTCTATGCGGTTGCTTTGTCAACCTTTTTGTTGTTGTTGCGTTGATTGAAGATGCTAATAGAAGATATAGAGAGAGAGTAACGAAACTGGTGGGAATAACTGCATAGATTTGCAGATCTAGAAATTCTGCGGAAAATGAGAGTGAGTTGAAACTTGCAAAGTTGGAAGCATTCCTAAATTTCCGAATTTGCCCTCCTCTCAGACGTCGCCTGCAGGAACGTGCACATGTCAAGTACCACATACATATTTCTGATTTCTCTTTCTGATGCCAATGTAGATTGTTTCTGCAATTTGTTGACAATTTTTCATGTAGCCTTTATGTATGTTCTCTTAGTATGATCAAATAAAATAAAAAATAATAATCAATGCTTTACTTACTTTTATTCATTTCTTTATTTATTTAGAAATTGAGTTGTGATGGTTAATTAAATTGAGTCTTGGTCGGTGAATTTATTTTTTATTTTTTATTTTTTGTGTTCATGAAATGAGGCTGGTTAACAGCAATAATTAAACTCAAATTGAAGTGGTTTCCGTGTGGTTGATGACGATGGTAATGATGGATAGGGTATGGTTGATAGAGAAAAAGGGATAACTGGTGCATGTGGATTTGATTTCAATTCTGGGTTAATTCAAAGTTGCCAGCCACCGACACGTACCATTCGATGCCAACTTCTTTATATACTCATCATTTTGATTTTGTTAATTAATATGCACAAGGTCCTTGTTCATTGAGCATGCTATTGCTAGTTTGCTACGTCACCTGAAAGTCCGTAACTAGAGATTTTATCTCGGGTGATGTGATGGTGGTGCGTGAGCGTGGTGCCTTAAAGAGTGGGGGGCGTTTGATTAGTTTATCTTGGCTCGGATGTTGACCACTCCGATCTACGGGAGCGAGTGGTTAGCTTAACGTTCCAATTATATTTTTATATCTTGTATCGCATGCAAAGATGTCTTTACCCTAAATCATTATGGGTGGGCGTGATGGTTCAGCATCTCGTCTTATAAACAAATGGTTGGGAGTTTGATCTCCAACTCCGGTGAATAGAAAGCATCTCGTGATCAGTTTTTTATCGTTTTGTGTGCTGATCCGGGGTGGAGGATTAGTCACATGACTACCAACCGTGGAAATATCGAAACAGTGACCTTTGTGCCACTCTTAGACAAATTTACCTAAATGTCACGCTAAAAAACAATTTTACCAAAATGTCACGAGGGCAAGTTCGCCCATAGCAGTAGCGAACTTGTATGCTGATGTGTCAGCTTTCTGGTGGTGTCAGAGTTTGCTTCTGACACATGTGACCTCGGATGAAATTAATGTCTCACCTGTCAGGCCACGTGACTTGCATGCAGAGGTCGCCTGTGTCTGAAGCGAACTCTGACACCACCAGGAAGCTGACACATCATTATACCAAATTCGCTACTGCTCTGGGCGAACTTGGCCTCGTGACAATTTGATAAAATTGTTTTTTGACATGGCATTTAGGTAAATTTGTCTTGGAACAGTGGCACAATGGTCACTGTTCCGAGAATATCTTGATGCAAATAAAAAAAAAAAGATGCCTTTGACCTTGCGTTTACAAATGCTGAAAGTTTGAATATATGCTTACATAATTTCCCAACTTATAAAAGGAAATACAAACTGAAACCATAAGATTTTATGTGTTTAAAAATATTAATATACCTACCAGTTACCGCGAATGAAAAAAAAAAAAAAAACATCCTCCCAAGTTTTTATAATTTTAATAAATTTTTAAATATTTTTCTATAATTTAGAAGTTTTTAACTGACTTTTTATATTTTTATAAAAAATGAAAATAAATTACCATGATAATTCAATAAAAGGAGCACTGGGAAGGTGTGCATTTAAGTTACGCGTGAGATTGGTGCTCGTTTGGCCTTGATTGAATCAATTGTTATCAAGTGACATAATTTCAATCACCTATAGTTATTTTGTGTGTTTTAAGTGTGGTTAAAGCAGTCACACATGTACTTCATGCGCGACTCGTCAACTTAGCAAATTACCCAACTCCCTTGAATAAATATTAATCTCGTTGCAAAATGACCATAGCTAAACGCGCATACTCTTGGTGTGAATTTTGCTACATTAATGTAGTAATTCTTTTAGTTTTGAATTGTTTTTGATATTTTTTTAAATAAGTTGAATTATAATGGATAAAAGGCTCTATCAATCCGATGATACTGAGCTCCAATCACTGGCGAACCTAAATTTTTTTATTTATGTGTATATATTTGGTTCAAATATTTAGTGGAGAGAGTTTGGGAGCTGTGCTTCGAAAAAAAAATTTAAACAAAATTTTATATGCATTAAAAAATAAAAGAATATAAACAAAAAGGGATTTATATCTCTCATGTTACGTGAATGGAATTTTTTGTCATATTAAGAAAAAGACAAGACCAATTCATTGAATAATATGTCATATCACTTTCTTTAATATTATATAACTTGTCCTTTTTTAACATTACAAAAATTCATTTCATATAACATGAGGGATATAATTCTCAAATAACAAAAAAAAGAGAAAATTTTGACTCAACATAAAAAAATGGTAATTCATTTAATGATATAAAACAACTAAAACATAAATATTAATTAAGATGTGTTTCTTTTTTAGTATGTGCTTGTATTCTTGATAATGCAGCCACTAAAATTACTTATTGAATGACATTTCTAATTAATTAAAAAATATATCTATTTTTAACTGACCAAATTTATACGTGGACTTACACGACAATCAATCAGGTCCGGCTCCAATTGCATGCAGACATATATTATGCCGTCATTTAGCTAATTACTTATCAGCAATATATGACGAATTTGGACTTTTACATCTTGGGTTCAAAGTGGGCTCTTCACAAGTCAAATATTTGGGGGAAAAGGGATAGAGTATTATACTTATGTTTTTGGTAATTACTTTATGAATAATATCATATTTTAATATATGATATCATCTTAATAATTTATAGATAAATTAATGATTATTTTTTCGTGGATAACATCAAGAAATTAAAACTAATAACTACATATTCGAGGGAAAACAATTTCCATACAATATGAAACTAAAGATGTACATCCTCAATGAGGTTCATTGAGGTAAAAAGTATCCCATATTTTATTATTATTATGAGATAAAATATAATGTCTTCTTATTTTTATATTTAGTTTACCTACTTTTTTCAACTTTCAACATCCTTAAGTTACAATTTTAATTTACTTTTATTTTTTCTCTCTCCTTCAACTATTGATTGAAATTGTGACCAAAGCAATAGATAATATAAGCATAAAAAAATATAAGGATAATATCATATCTCATTATTATTAAAAGATATATTTATTATTTTTCCCTTAAAACCTCTCGTAATCATTTTCTTTATTATTGAATCCAAATGAAATAAAAAATTATAAAATAATTTCGAATAAAAATTGTTAATTTAATTTTAACGACATCAAAATAATTATAAAAAATCATAAAAAAAATTATAAATATAACATACCTCCTATTATTATTTTGTTATTCGCCCTTTTTCCACTGTGTAGTCACGGATGTGTTGTACGGTACCAAAGTTTTTGGCTTCGAAGAAAACATTATGCCTGCAGCAATGCCGTTTCCCGTGTCCTTATTATTTTAGGGTAATGTAATAATGTATCATGTTTCACAAAAACTCACATATTTTTTTTAATATCACAATTACAGACAAATGTATTGGCAGCCTTAGGTGTAAGGCACGTTAGTCCTAATATGATGATGAATGGGCCCTACTCATGTTGCAATCGGCATCCATATCCAATGCATTCCCCACTCTTCCTCTTCCTGGTGCCCCAGGATCCTGAGGCTGATAGTGCTTGCACCAAAACCTGGTCCCTAATCTAGAATACCGGTCCCTTATTCCATTGAAATCTTCTAATCATTTTTATACTTCCTTTTCCTTTTTGAGATAGTGTGTGAAATATCAAGCTCACATTTCTTTTAATGTTTTAAAATTTATACACGAACTTAAGTGAGGGAGTAATCAATTTTTAAAAAAAAAATTAACGATTTTCCTCTGTTTTTCAAAAAAAATTTCAAAAATTTGCTTTAGCCAAAATTTTAACTGGGTTATCAATCTTCTAATTTTTAAGTTTGATAGCTAAAGTCACTCTTCTTTAATTATCTCCGCAATTTTGCTGCATCTTGCCATTTCGTCCTTTTCTTCTTGTGTAATTCACATGATTTTATTTTGAAAAAAGTATTTGTCATTTTAAATGACATAACACTCTGTCTTTTTAAGAAAGAGACAGACACAGAAAAACAAATTTTATTAAATTTTAAATTAAAAAACCACTCACTCTCTCTCCTATAATTTTCATTTTTCTGTGTCTATCTCTCTCCTAAAATAACATAACTTATGTCATTTAAAATGACAGACACGAAACTCTTTTATTTTATTTTTGATTACCCATTTTATATGATTCATTATTCAGTTCACATTAGAGAAGAGCGAGACAAGGGGGCACGCCGAACGCTAAAGGCGTTAGGTAATGACCAATAGAGACTTGGGCACTAAATGGACATTCGGCCCTTGGCCCACATTGCAAACAAACAAAAGAGATATTTGGGTCAATTGTCGTGTCATTCTGTTTTTAGTTCAGAAGGCCTTTTTTGTTCCCTTCATGATATTCTTGTCATTATCGTTTTCAATATGATGGAGCATACAAATTTGTTTAAATAAAATAAAAAATCTGATATGCATGCAAGTGTTCACAAAAAGTTTATTTATCAAATATTAAGCCGAATCGTAGTTACTCTTTTGTTTCAAGATTTTACGCTGATTGAATAGTGCTCTGCACTGTCGTTGCGACTTGCGAGTAGAGTAGTCTAGAGATTTATGAAGCAAACATTCACGGGACACAAATATGGCCATTTTTAAAATTAAAAGATATGACACAACATTGAAAATATAGTATTAATATAAAAACAAAGATTTGAAATTAGAATGAGCATACTCATTTTTTATAAGTCAACATTAATTATTGTAAATAGGTTTATTACTGATTTAATTGTTGTAATAATTATAAATTAATTATTCTTATATTTTTGGGGTTAAATTATGAGTTATTCTTATAGATTTGAC